TCGGCCACAAGCCAAAGCCATATAATAATTAACATTAGCCACTGCGGTTCAATCGCGTTCTCCAAAATACGTAGGACTTGGTCATTTCACGTTCCTGTTTTGCAGAGGAAGGATATGAGATGTACCAAGATTCAAAACGCACATGCGAAAACATTGTTCTGCTCATTAAACCTTTTGTTTGGTGACGTTAAAGTCGGCGTCGCCGTTGTGGTTTGCGAAAGCTCCCTATTAATTTCCTGTGAAGAAAACCCCCTTGAGCAGCTTTAAGTTCTCAGTGACGGGAAGCTAATTTTCTATTTTCTTCCTTCCTCAGGTGACTCGAAGGTATCAGCCACCAGTCCCCTCAGTCCGTCTGAACTCCTGGTCGCTCTTCATCAAATCGAGGCTAAGAGTGACATGAAGTCTGTTATGAAAGGTAAGCTAAGTCTCTGTGTCCATTGGTACACTTGCTGCGATTGGTCTATTTTGCTGGCTGTTGTACGGCCCTCTTCCCGCGCGCTTGACTTTAGAAGTTGTCTTTTCTTTGTAGCGAGATATGCAATAAACATCTTATTTACCTCGCTTCTCCTGTCCGCACGCTATGATTAGATCCTCGTATTTCCATGGATACATGGCCCAAGCGTGAAAAACGAGTATCCGTATCTTATAGGAACTTGAACTTGATTGCAGTTTTAAAAGGTATACGGACTGCATGCTCTGCCGCTCGGAACCACCGAGAGACGTGAATACGATTTGTAATGTGGTAAATGCAATGGTAAGCAAGCAACCAAGAATACATTCTGCTGCTCCACTCATCTTGGACCGAAATCTTACTCTGTTTGACGTCGAAAAGTGATCACGAGGTCTCTTTCCTCTTGGCCGTGAGTGATCTGGGCTCCAGTGTACTGTTCCACAATACGTTCCTCTTGCGTGTTACAAGATTCGGCCCTGATATTCCATTTATCTTGTGCCTCGGTTTCAAAACGGGTTTTCGTGCAAAACCTTTCATATGAAAATGAGTTTGATTTGCATGAAAATGAACCTGTAGGCGGAACACATTTTCATGTGAATGGTTTCGCACGAAGACTCGTTTTGACACAGAGGCACAAGGTAACTTGGAGATGGCTTTACTGAGCTAATGACACGGACATGGTGTGGATACATACATAGACTATCATTCGTGCCAGCCAGGAGACTGTTTTGTGCTAATCATTTTCTGTTTTCCCTTTTTCCCATACTCAGCCAGCAGCCTGTGTTTCGCGGAGAAGACCATTTACACTCAGGAGGTGTTAGCAGTGGTTCTTCATCAGCTGATGGAAATGAATCCTCTCCCTACCTTGTTCATGAGAACGGTAATTTCACCTCTGCTCTTATTAGAACACCTCTATCCTCCGCAGAGGCTCAAAGGGTTTTTTCTTTTTGGTGAGTCAGGCGCAGGGTTCGACTTTGCGCCTGCACTCACCTGGCACAACGGCTTTCTGTAGCGAACGTTTCGAACTCTGCGGAGGAGAGATGTAGAACACTTTAGAAGAGAAATTATATCGCGTTTCATTTTACTCGGCAGGTGATCCAGTCTCTCAGCATATGTCCTCGACTGGTTGGCTTTGTCATGAACATACTTGCCAAATTGATCACCAAGCAGGTGAGTAAATTCTGTACACGCAGTGAACTGAATTATCATAGGAAGACTTGGTGGCCTTGATTGACTGTTTTTCTGTTTGTCTTTCAGGTCTGGAAACAGCCCAAAGTTTGGCAGGGATTTGTCAAGTGTTGTCAGGTAATATTCGGGTCGCGGAATTATTCCATTCAATTACGTGTAACACGATTTCCTTTCTGGAGGCGCGGTGGCCTCATGGTTAGTGCGTTCGTCTCCGGATAGAGCGCTGAGGGTTCGAGCCCTGGCCGGGGACATTGTGTTCTGTTCTTGGGCAAGACACTTAACTCTCACAGTACCTCTCTTCACCCAGGTGTATAAATAGGAACCGGCGAACTTAATGCTGGAGGTAACCCCGCGATGGACTGGAATCCCATCCAGGGGGGAATAGAAATACTCCTAGTTGTTTCATGGTTCAAAAACCGGGATAAGCTCCGGCCCAATGGGCCCCTTGGCTCGTATGCAGACTTTACCTACCATTTCCTTTATCCAACCGTACAGACTGTATTCTCTTCTGAGGAGATGCAGTCTCCGTTTACAAAACCTCTGTCTTTGTTTTGTTCTTTTCTAGTGTATTTTATCGTGTTTTACCTACAATCAGCGGCCCCTGTTAATAGTAAAGAATTGTACGAGCAACTAAAACCCTCATCCCCCCGATCACATACTTGGGATGCAATTATATATCATTTCATTTCATTCCTTGTTTCGCTTTATAGATGACCAAGCCCCAGTCCTTCTCGGTTCTTCTGCAACTTCCTTCTCGACAGCTGGAAAGCGTGTTTGAGGTAACCACATCGATGAGAAAAACTCCCACCTAAAGTTCGTGATATGAATTCTTCCTGCCTTTTAATGTCAGTTACAAGAATTCAGTTGTTGATACGTCAAGACAATATTCCTTTCAATTATCATCGCTAATGTATTCATATCGAAAGAAACTCCACCCGAAAACACAAAGTAAGTTTTCGTCCTCTCCTCAAGTTGAGTGCTCCGTTGAGTTAATTTTAACTAAGCTATAGACTCTTCATAAATGGCTGCCAATTATAAATTCTTTTGTAAGTATTAAAATTAGCCTGACTAACCTCGTTTTTGAGTTGATAATTCAAAAGAATTTTACTCCCAAACGAGTTAGTGAGGCTAATTTAAATACAAACAAAAGAACTTTAAATTGACAGCCATTTATGAAAAGGGTCTATGACGACGGAATAAACGGCTTATTTAAATGACTTTTCTTGTTGTTTTGCCAAAACAACCTGGAGACCTGTTTTCCACAATTATGGTAATTATGTTAATTATGTTTATAATTATTCAGATATGTCCAGAACTCAAAGAGAACCTGGTTGCGCATGTTCAGTCGTTCACTCCTCACCAGGTAAGCTCCAGGAATTTATTTGCGTTCCCACGTGGGCCTGTTTTGGACTATGCGCTTATTATACTTTAGTAGAAATCTACCGGCGTTCTCTGATTGGCTATGCTACTCACTGTCTATTCTGTTGTAGTTGGTCAGTAGCGTAGCAGTGTGCGCTGGTGGCCGCTTCTTTGCGTTTTTGAAGGGTCTGTGAAAAGGATTTAGATAAAGTTTTGAACGACTAGTGGGTTTATACTAAAACAAATAGGTTATTCGCTCTCGATTTCTATACGACGAGGTTGACGAGGGCGCAATCACCGCGCGATGGAAATCTCGAGCTCATAATCTAATTGTTTAATGCAAACAGTCAAGTAGTAGAAGATATCAATGTGCGAAGATCCCTTTAAATATTTGTTCTTGGCCGTAAACAGATCAAGAAAATCGTTTCCCCATACATTGAGAGGACTTTTCGTAATTTTTTAAGACCAGTATGTATCTAACAGAATAATGGTCTAAAACGTGTGTTGTTTTGCCATTTCCCAGCGAGCACATATTCCGAGATCGCTTCTTCAGATCTTAGAAAAGGACGGAAAAAAGGACGAGAAGAAACCTAAAGTGGAAAAACCAGACAAGGAACAGATCGACCCTGAAGACGACGACGAGTCGACGAAAGACGACAGATCTCCGAAGCAGACACGATCGCACTCGAGAGAATCGCTGAAAGACAAACGAAAGTCGCGCAGATCACGCTCTCGCTCCAGGTCACCGCGGAAGAAACGGGAGAAAAGTGCTGGTGAGGAGAGTGCAAGTGAAGGAGAAATAAACTGAAAGTCGATGGAGGAAAGGTGGTTAGATGGCATGCGAAGTTGAGTTAACCTTGTCGTGCAGGAAGACTACGAATACCTAAGTCAAGTTTTCCTGCATCTCCAAGAAGAAACCGTGATTCGCGGGGCGAGGAGAATTCGTTGAAACCGAACTATAGTGTGACCAGCCTTAGTAGAGAGACGTCAGTCTTCGCGTCAATCTTTGCGTCACTTCACCATCCCGCGTATAAATCTTAAAATGCTTCCATCTTCTTAACAGTCACTACTCTGGGGTCGCCATAAAACCTCGCAATTAACCCTTTGAATACCAACCACGCATGCGTAATTAATGGTCGTGCTCTTTGTACCACTTGTGACGTCATTAATTTAAGTGTCATCAGATATTCTTGATAAGCAGATAGTAGTACTAGGCTGAGCCTTTCCGCACAATGGTCAGGTTTAGAGATCGACGACATTCCGACGTCGCAAATCGAAAAACAACGTTATCAGTTTTGGTGCAAAAACGGT